AAATCATTGATTAAATTGTAGTGAATGATCAAGATTTTGAAAGGAGTGCAAAAGCAAAATGAGGCATTTTGGATGCAATCTTCTGCTACCAACATTTGCTTAAGGAAAGAAAAAAGCGACAAATGAAACTTCACCACTTTATTGCAAAAAAGCAAGAATTTCACAAAAGTCAGGACCTTTGTCACAAAAAATGAACTATTAATATAGAAAAAATGAACTAATTAATATATTATTATACATTTCTGTGTGCATATGTTTGTGTTATTTAACATATATTATTATACAAATTAATACAAAAATAACTTAAAGTAAAATTTTTCTATTTTTGGTCGTGTTTTCCCTATCCCTATTTACTCTATGTTAAAATGACCTCTTTTAACACTGTTTTGTTTAGCGCTTTATCGACTAGGAACGCATCCCCCGTGTTAAGCAGGGTCTTACTGTATCATCAGCTATTAATGCTACATTTATCAGTCTTAACAGTTCTAATCGAACAGATCCATAGTAGTGATAACTGCTAAAGTTAATTTCATAATTATAACATTGCCAAAAAATTATAAATTTGGATAATGTGATACTATATTGCTATTTACACATGAATATTGGATTTAATTGTTAAATGAATTGCTTTATTTCATTTAAATTAACAAATATATAAATTTTACTACAAAAAAGATAAATTTGCTGTTTTTCATATAACATCAAATAAATATATTTTAATATTGTGTCATGATCTCTTTTACAATAACTTCTGCAGTCTTATTGGGCATGCTCATAACAAGATTTTGAATGGTATCATGATTACACTTTCATATGCTTCAATAACGGTAACTTTCAGCTTGTTGACTGTCAAGAATTGGTGATTGTGTATAAACGTAGCTAACTATAGTTGCCCACAAATTTCCAATTATGTTTTGGTCAAGTGAGCAGGAAGGCCACTCAAGCATTTCAATGTTTTTAGCTGTCAACCACGTCATTATCATGGATTGCAGCATTATCCTGCTGGAAAACTGTTTCTTGCACTGATTTTGATGAAGGAATGGTAAAAGACTCAGATGATCTGGATGCAATGGCTCTTTATTTTCTTTGAAGTAAATTTGGCACTTTTTTAGTATTATGCTAAATGAGAAATTATATATATCTATCTGAAAGTAGCATAAATGTAGTCTGCTAGTAAACATCAATAAACTCATGTTTCAAAGCAGTGCATCTAGAGCACGGATGTCCAACCTGCAGCCCACTGCACCCTAAATTTTTTAGGTACATTTTCATTTATTTTGGTATAGTATGTCGTAAAAATTATTCTCGCTTCACTTTAATGTCGTAATGATGTACAGAAGACCCCCCCCTNACCTTTGGAGACATCATTAATAGAAATAATTTTTATGGCCGTTGAATAAGAAATGTTTCTTTCACAAGAAATGTATAAAATTAGTGCTGTATTAGACTTACGGTACCTAATTTACATACTGTACAGACGATAGTAAACTCAACTTACTCGCCTAAACTGTCCGTAGCGTGGCGCTGGACGGTGGAAAATATATATATAATTATAATAAAGTTACAATAAATTAAGTTAATATGTAATTATATATACAGTACCTAATTTATATATAATTAATATATAATTATATGTACAGTACCTAATTTATATATAATACTGTACAGACGATAGCAAACTCAATTTACCCGCCTAAACTTTCCATAGCGTGGCACTTGGCGGCAGAAAGTAGTTCGGCTGCTCATCCACTATTGGTCCAGATTCGACCAATCTTGTCGCGACACGAGTTGGCGACAATGTTTTACGAGTCCCTTTATACAAATACTGCCGCAATTTTTTCTCTATGTTATAGGAATTTCTGTTATAGGAACCCACGTTATAGGGGGGTCGACTGTAATTGATGACATAATTTGTAACTGACTAATCAAAAATATTGGTGGCATGATTTGTCATTTTGATTGTTTCAGTTTCAAATATTTTTGTAATGAAGTGATGATGTTAGTGATAAAGAATGGGTTCCTTTCATCAGGCAGATGAAAACGATACATAATTCCTCTTTTCAAAAGAGTGTTAGCCATTTTTAGTGACTCGAGGCTAGGCCTAATGCTAAAATAGAAAGGGCTAATTTATTCTGTATAGAAATAAAGAATAAATTAGATCCTTCCACTTCAGCATTTTTTTTCTAATTACAAGTATATAATACAGACATAGGTCTATCTATATATTTCTTTTGCTAACATAATAATTTAAATATTTTCAATCTCCAATTATATTCATANTGTCAAAAATGTTATACATGTACATTGAAGCTGGGGGCAAATTCTCTGGCTTGCTTAGCATGCGACACATGCTTAAGAGAAAGTTTTGACTGTCAATATATTTTTTATATGAGAACAAATATGCCAATAGTAATTTATTCTAACGTGTAAACTTGTTTATCATTTGTGTTTGCTTTTTCATTGACAGCTAGTGGCTAACCATTTTAAGTCAGTGCCATGCTTGCAGGAACTTGATCACTTGCTTGTATAGAGGTTTGCCACAGCAATCAAGTGCATTCGCATGATGACATTTGAAGCATTTAACACATCCAGATTGTATCAAAAGCTTGCGGTACCCAGTCAGTATACATGTATTATGTAGAGGGGCAGATCTATATAGAGATTAATAGGACTTAAGCCCTGGGCCCCCAGTGTCAAGGGCTCACAAAATCTGAATTATCATCATAAATTTTTAATACTTTCTCATTATAATATATTTCATATATTTCATTTGTAAATATAATAGGTTTTATAGTAGTCCATACTTTCTTATTCACACCAAATAGCATTTCTGTCTGTTGTTTAGTGCTAGAGATAGGTCTATTACAGTAGACCCCCCCTATAACACTGTTGATAATTCCATGTTATATGAATTCCATGTTGTACAAGTTACTTAAATTTCACAAATATGTGTGCCGGGCTGTGAACGGCTCGCATATTTGTAAAATCAACTGTATTCTTATTATAACTTTCATCATGCCCAAAAATTTTGGCCAGGATTCGCTCCTTATTGAAGCAATTTATATACAGTAGACTCCCTATAAAACGGGTTCATATAATGCGGATTCGTATATTGAGGCCAAAAAATTGCGACTGTATTCGTATAAAGACGCTAAAAGAGACTTGTAAAATGCGGTAAAACGTCATTGCCAACTCGTGTCGCGACAGGATTGGTCAAATCTAGACTAATAGCGGACATGCACAAACCATTGAGTTTAAACGAGCAGCAGACCTACTAAAAACCATTTATTATTTAACGGCCATAAAAAGTATATTTATATTAATGATGTCTCCAAAGTTCAGCAAATTTTTCGCAGAAAAATAATTTATCAGAAAACATTCACCTGTCGTTTGATGCGCTGCTCCAAGATGAAAACAAGCTTAAACAATGACTCCGCCGAACGGTACACACTCGGTAAGTAATCCTACAATTTTTTGTTTATAGCATAGTTTATATGGATTATTCCCAAAAAATTATACGTATTTTGGAAATGTTGAGTCGAATTAGTCTAGAATCGATTAATTTTATGGAAGAAAACCTTTCAAACAGCCGTAGTCCATATAGTACATACGTGCCGGTTTGTGATTGGCTCATGTATTTAAGGACTCGTAGAACATGAATTTCTTAAAAAGCGGAAAGTATCTACTGCGTTATAGGGGGGTTTACTGTAGTTTAATTTTTTTCATACTGAAGAAATGCATCTAAGAAGAAAAGAAAATTTTTCAAAAGTATGCATTTTGAAAAATTGTCTTTTGTTAGCTTGTGAGTGAAGTGTCAAATAATAGAATACAGATTTGGTAAATAAACTTTTCTCTAGTAAGACATGTATTGTTAAAGTTTCAGATTTATTGGAAACACACACACTTTGAAGTTTATAAGGATATAAACCTGAGAATGTCTTATCAAATAAATGAAAAATGTTTGATACCTAAAATAACAGCCATATAACCTTTTCAATCAGCAAATAAGCACTTAATGCAACTAAAACAAATAAAATAAAATGATTGTTTTCTGTAATACGCTTCTTGTCTAGTCTTGTGTTCAATTTTACTAGCTCTGACAGTTTTTCCTTTTTTGCTAGACTTATTACACCAGTCAGAAGACAAACTTTAGAAAATCATATCTTTATTTCCCTGAGTATGCATTTTGGACATTAAGTTCCTTTTCAACTCCATGTGATATAAATGAAAAGGGTCTTAATGTCTGAAATGCATACTAAGGGAAATTAAGATATGATTTTCTAAAGTTTGTCCTCTTTCTGTCTGATGTAATAAGTCTAGCGAAAAAGGAAAAGCCGTCATAGAGCTAGTATAATTGATTTGTTTTGTTTGATACTTAAATATTTTCTGGAAACACAGAAGAATTTGTAATAATTAACATATGTTTTAAATAAATTTTATCATTTGTAGATATGGATAATGACATTCACAATATTTCCCATTCGTTTTATCATTATGATTATTCTTCTAATGACTGCATGGCTTTTGACATCAATTGGTTTTATTGGTTTATCAGAAAAAGAATTTCAAGAGAAACCTATGTCTGGTTGGAGAAAGTGAGTTACTTAATATTATAGAATCTTGTTTTATATTTATAGTGTATAATTCTAATTGGGATGAATTAATTTAAAATTTCAATTTTTTGAGTAAATGAAGATTTTTAAAATATGAATATAAATGTATATTGATACATTTATACACTTTTTATTTTTCTTTTAATTTTTAAAAGTAATTTTAAAATTTTAATTATATTATCATCATTTTATTTTTTTAATGTTAATAATTAGAAAATTTTGTTGTAATTTAATATACTTCAGAGCTCAACAAATATAAAATGTACATTACTTTAACTATTAATTTTCTAGAAAATTATGTATGATTCTTTAATTTATAAATTTATTTGGCTTTTACCATAATAGCATTTAAACATTTAATGCATTAAAAATTATTTAAAGTTTGTTGAACTCTGGCTTAATATATTTTATAATTATGAATTCTTAATATTTTGACACTTGACTTTTATACAGATTTTTTAATCATCTGCTGAAGATTTCACCTCATTATGTTCCCATTATTGTCCTTGTTCAACATATATACTTGAATATTTTTATTGACAAGTATACATTTGCACATTTGCTCCATCAAGGGCAGTTGTGGGTATTTGCTATATGTTTGGAAGTAAGAATACATTTGATAGCATCTTAAATGCACTTTTTAAAAAACTTATCACTAGTAGTAGATTTAGATATTTAATGTAACAAATGTTCTTTAGATTTAATCTTATTCCTTTTCTAGCAATTAGTTTTTATTTTCTAGTTAGTATTTTGTTTTAGTGTATTTTTTAGTTGTAGAGTTTGCATATTTTTATTTATTTAAATTACACATTTAAAATTAATGAAGGTTTTAATATTATTTGGCTTTATTCCAGTCATCTTTTTATTACTGTACTGTATATCTTACTAGTACTGTCATGGCCAGCACATTAATGTTATTACCACAAGTGTTTTCGTAGACCTAGGAACAAAGAGCAATAAAAGTAGGCACATTTCTTTTGTTCAAAAATTCCTGTGTATGACTCTGGCCAAGTTTTCTGTCATTTCAGAGACTCTGTATATTTTCTATCATGTATGTGAATACATGATAGAAAATATAGTCTCTGAAAGTAGTGCTTGTGATTATTTCTATGGACTAAGAGTATTCAACTGGTCTTCTTGACATAATTATTTATTAGAAATAAGTTTAATTATTAGCTAGAAGAAAAAAGAATATCAGCTGACATGTCAGTGATTGATTGAATTTTTGTGATGCATAAACTAAATTTTTTGAGAATGAATGGAGTTTGTAAGCATTTTAATCTTCTCCAAGTGAACTCTTTAGTTTTCATTGTAAAAAGTTTATTGAAAAATAGAAAAAAATTGTATATGCATTAATTTTGTTTTCTGGAAATGCAAAATGTATCATTTGCAGAAAATAAGAATTCAAATACAGTAAGACCCCACTTAATGCTGCCTTGCTTAATGCTGATTTGATATAACACCATCTGCTTGAAGCCTAAAAAAAAGCTCAAAATTTACTGATTTAAATTATTGCGGAATTTTATAGCTTCATACATAATACGATTATTTATGAACATGAACCAATCAGAAAAAAGTGGCAAAAAGGTGTAATTTCTTTAAATCTATTCTTTTGTTTGGTGCAATTTTGGAAAAAATATAACATCATGGATGCCATAGGCAATATTGGCTTCGCTTGGCAAGAATTAACTGATAAATGCACAAACTAAAGTTATGCACGAAAAAATTTCTCTACAGATTTTCTTAGTAAAAGTTTAGTACAGTAGAACCCCTCTAGTCTGCCCTCGGCTAGTCCGTCACTCCGGTTAATCTGACCGTGGTCGGAGTCCAGAAACTTGTCCCGACTCATCGGTGACTCACTGTCCGTGGCGTTTTTCTGTGTTCGTTACAGTACATGTTTTACATTGTGTGTACATGTACAGTTTTGTGTGTGTTTTCAACATGTCAGGAGTGAAACGTAACCACGTTACTCTTTCATTAAATGAAAAATTAGCAGTGCTACAAAGACTGGACAAAGGGGAAGATTGTTTATTTTACTTTTTTCTGATAATTTGACCTTTTTTGCGTTCCGACCATACCCCCAGTCCCAAAGGTGACGGATTAGAGGGGTTCTACTGTAATGATAACTGAAATCATTGATTAAATTGTAGTGAATGATCAAGATTTTGAAAGGAGTGCAAAAGCAAAATGAGGCATTTTGGATGCAATCTTCTGCTACCAACATTTGCTTAAGGAAAGAAAAAAGCGACAAATGAAACTTCACCACTTTATTGCAAAAAAGCAAGAATTTCACAAAAGTCAGGACCTTTGTCACAAAAAATGAACTATTAATATAGAAAAAATGAACTAATTAATATATTATTATACATTTCTGTGTGCATATGTTTGTGTTATTTAACATATATTATTATACAAATTAATACAAAAATAACTTAAAGTAAAATTTTTCTATTTTTGGTCGTGTTTTCCCTATCCCTATTTACTCTATGTTAAAATGACCTCTTTTAACACTGTTTTGTTTAGCGCTTTATCGACTAGGAACGCATCCCCCGTGTTAAGCAGGGTCTTACTGTATCATCAGCTATTAATGCTACATTTATCAGTCTTAACAGTTCTAATCGAACAGATCCATAGTAGTGATAACTGCTAAAGTTAATTTCATAATTATAACATTGCCAAAAAATTATAAATTTGGATAATGTGATACTATATTGCTATTTACACATGAATATTGGATTTAATTGTTAAATGAATTGCTTTATTTCATTTAAATTAACAAATATATAAATTTTACTACAAAAAAGATAAATTTGCTGTTTTTCATATAACATCAAATAAATATATTTTAATATTGTGTCATGATCTCTTTTACAATAACTTCTGCAGTCTTATTGGGCATGCTCATAACAAGATTTTGAATGGTATCATGATTACACTTTCATATGCTTCAATAACGGTAACTTTCAGCTTGTTGACTGTCAAGAATTGGTGATTGTGTATAAACGTAGCTAACTATAGTTGCCCACAAATTTCCAATTATGTTTTGGTCAAGTGAGCAGGAAGGCCACTCAAGCATTTCAATGTTTTTAGCTGTCAACCACGTCATTATCATGGATTGCAGCATTATCCTGCTGGAAAACTGTTTCTTGCACTGATTTTGATGAAGGAATGGTAAAAGACTCAGATGATCTGGATGCAATGGCTCTTTATTTTCTTTGAAGTAAATTTGGCACTTTTTTAGTATTATGCTAAATGAGAAATTATATATATCTATCTGAAAGTAGCATAAATGTAGTCTGCTAGTAAACATCAATAAACTCATGTTTCAAAGCAGTGCATCTAGAGCACGGATGTCCAACCTGCAGCCCACTGCACCCTAAATTTTTTAGGTACATTTTCATTTATTTTGGTATAGTATGTCGTAAAAATTATTCTCGCTTCACTTTAATGTCGTAATGATGTACAGAAGACCCCCCCTATAACGCTTAGATACGTTCCACTTTATAAGAATTTTACGTTGTAGGAATCCTTAAATACATGAGCCAATCACAGCCCGACACGTGTGAAGTTTACGGACTAAGGCTGTTTGAAAGGTTTTCTTCTATAAAATTAACCGATTCTAGACTAATTCGACTCAACATTTCCAAAACACGTATAATTTTTTGGGAATAATCCGTATAAACTATGCTATAAACAAAAAATTGTAGGATTACTTACCGAGTGTGCACCGTTCGACGTCGCCATTGCTTAAGCTTGTTTTCGTCGCGGAGCAGCGCACCAAACGACGGCCGCGATTTCTGATAAGTTATTTTTCTGCGAAAAATTCGTTGAACTTTGGAGACATCATTAATAGAAATAATTTTTATGGCCGTTGAATAAGAAATGTTTCTTTCACAAGAAATGTATAAAATTAGTGCTGTATTAGACTTACGGTACCTAATTTACATACTGTACAGACGATAGTAAACTCAACTTACTCGCCTAAACTGTCCGTAGCGTGGCGCTGGACGGTGGAAAATATATATATAATTATAATAAAGTTACAATAAATTAAGTTAATATGTAATTATATATACAGTACCTAATTTATATATAATTAATATATAATTATATGTACAGTACCTAATTTATATATAATACTGTACAGACGATAGCAAACTCAATTTACCCGCCTAAACTTTCCATAGCGTGGCACTTGGCGGCAGAAAGTAGTTCGGCTGCTCATCCACTATTGGTCCAGATTCGACCAATCTTGTCGCGACACGAGTTGGCGACAATGTTTTACGAGTCCCTTTATACAAATACTGCCGCAATTTTTTCTCTATGTTATAGGAATTTCTGTTATAGGAACCCACGTTATAGGGGGGTCGACTGTAATTGATGACATAATTTGTAACTGACTAATCAAAAATATTGGTGGCATGATTTGTCATTTTGATTGTTTCAGTTTCAAATATTTTTGTAATGAAGTGATGATGTTAGTGATAAAGAATGGGTTCCTTTCATCAGGCAGATGAAAACGATACATAATTCCTCTTTTCAAAAGAGTGTTAGCCATTTTTAGTGACTCGAGGCTAGGCCTAATGCTAAAATAGAAAGGGCTAATTTATTCTGTATAGAAATAAAGAATAAATTAGATCCTTCCACTTCAGCATTTTTTTTCTAATTACAAGTATATAATACAGACATAGGTCTATCTATATATTTCTTTTGCTAACATAATAATTTAAATATTTTCAATCTCCAATTATATTCATAATTATTTCATTAACTTTAAATTTATATTTTTAATAACCCAGCATTTGATCATCACATCTAATACTAAGAAAAGAAAAATCACAAAAGAAAAGAGAGAATTCAATATCTTTTGACCAGAAAAATATTTCATAATTGAAACATGTAAATTATTATTTGTGTTACTGTATTTGTCATGATAAAATTACACTGTGAAATTGTGCATTTTTAGGGTTTATAAAAAGAAAAGAAGAATTTACTGTGAACTTTTAAACATATAGTAAATTATGTGAAATTTTGTTAAAAGATTTAACAACCAGACTTTCAGAAAACTAAAAACAATTAAAACTTTTTAGTGATCTATTCCTGAGGTAACTCAGGAAATTATGTAGAAGCACCAGCTGAATACCAGCTAGAACTCATTGAACTTCAAAGCAGCGAATCTTTGAAAACTTATCATAGAGAACATTTCATTCTTGAATTTTATAAAGTTCATTCTTTCTATGAATATGATGAAATTTTCAATTTACCTAGAAAACTGTTTTGCATGTGGGATAGTACATACTGTTGTGAACAATTTTTTTGTGCATGAAAAACATCAAAACCAATGAAAAAAATAGGTTGAGAAATATTCCCATTTAACTAACACTCTCTTAGAATTAAGACTAGTACCACAAAAGCAGATATTAATGATATTATAAAAGAAAGGCAACAATACAGTATTTTTTGTAATTATATATATTTCTTATTAAAGTTTGACATTCACATTTTGAACTTTTTAAAAACATATTTATATAAATTACCTTTGTGGCCCACTAAATATACCTAAATTTCTAATTTGACCCATTACGAAAAATGGTTGGACAACCCTGGTCTAGAGGGTATTCAACAGAGAAATACTTAGTAGCTCTGGAGCTGAATGAAACCAGTGCCAGTGAAATAACAACAGAATAGACAAAATGGCATTCCAAAGTAATAGTTAAGACAGTAACTTTTGTTGTTGATAAATTGTTCACTGGTTATTTAATATGTAGCATTCAATTTTTTTTTCTTTGTACATTTTGATTGTAATACAAACACAGATAAAAAAAATTTATTATATTTGTTATACTCATATTCTATTGCTTCTGTGATTTGTTCCTTTAAAAGGACATATTAACTCATTTTCTATAGTCTAATTGATGTTCAAATTTTCTGTTACTGTATCAAAATTACATCTTTCAGTATTTTCTATGATATTTTCATCTTAGAAAATGAAAGCTACTGCTGTTCTCTTAGTAGTTTTCTGCAAAATTAACCACTTTCAGGAATTAGCTTTCCTTCTTTCTTCTTTGATACACTCTTCTAAGTTGTTTTCAATGCTTATGAAATGAATTGGAATAAATTTTGAATTTTATTAAGATTTATATTTAAATATATTTTTATAATATATACAGTGGTGCCTTGTATAATGTACTTAATCCATTCCAGGTGCATGTCCATTAAGTGAAAAGTCCGTCATACGAAATGCATTTTACCATAGAAATACATGTTAAAACATAATTCGTTCCACAGCATAAAATAACCATACTGTACCATTAATGAAAATGGAGAAGTCTCCAATTATTCCGGGTAGTCAAATGATGTGAGGTGAGGAACACTTTCTTCACACATTCATACAAATAGACTTTTTACACATTGCAGCGGGTTTTTTCTATTGTTTTTTAATCAGATTCAGAGAGGCTACCGGAGCTTGCAGGGTCGTCTCCTCTTGTTTCATCCTTTGATTTTTGGCAGCGTACTTTTTGAAAAACATGTCCAAGGTGCTCTGTTTCTCTCTCTTCAACACCTGTCAGAAATGACAGGCAAGGATGTCATTGTAGAGATCATTGATTCTGTTGGCCTCAGCTCTGTTTGGATAATGAGTGTTGGTAAACTCCTGAACCTCTCCCCATTTGACAAAGTTTTTGTCAACTTTCACTCCTTCTGATGATGTCTTGCTTTATTTCAATTGAAATCATCTTTCTGGTTTTTTAGAAGCCATGATTTGCACAACACTTGAATAAATGTAAATATCCTGCACTGAGGTGATGTACGTAATAAACAAGAGAGCAAGCCGAATCCCAACGTGAGCTCTGTACTTCAGATATACTAATAATATATTCTAATAATACTAATATATTATAAAAATAGCAGATTGTCATTAGCAATGGCAAAAGAGTGGAAACATCATTCGCACTAGTTCACAGAAAGTCCGTTGTTCGCCTCACGTAACTGCCGAACGGAAAGTCCGTTGTTTGCAGCCAGTCCATTACTCGAGTCACGTAATGGCCAAACAGAAAGTCTGTTGTTCGCAGCATCCGTTATTCGAGGCGTACGTTATATGAGGCACCACTGTAATTACAAAAATTCTAATATTTAAACTTTATCATAAATGATGAACATTATTATTTCATTTTGTGAATTTAATTAATTTTTTATCTATTTCTATTTTGATTTGTTTCTGTTTAGCAAAATAATTGAGAAGTCAAATTCATATTGCTTAATCATCTAGAATTAAACTATCGATAATGGGAATAGAATAAACTATCCATAACTAAACTAATGGTTAGTTTATTCAAATTTAGTTTGAATAAACTAAATTTGAATAAACTATCAAACTAAATTTGTATCAATATCAAAGTCCAGTTTAGTAGTCAAACATATTTAAAGACCAGATTATTTTTGTTAGAATGAAGTTAATTTAATTATGGAATTTGGCCCTAAAGATAGCCAGTTAAGCAGCCATGGTGAGCTGAGATTAATAATTAGATATTAAAATATATAAATAAAATTTACTGAAGCTACAAAATTGTGTGTGTTCCATTATTACAAACATCAGTGTGGAGATGACCTTTTATTTGAGACTGCATTTCCGCAATAAAATTTAATTAGATATTACTTTAATTTTTAGATTAGATATTAATGTAGAAAATTGTGGAAAGATTGATTTCACATGAGACTTAATTGCAATTTTTGCTTACTGAACTAGATATTAGTTACATTAACCAGACTTCTGTTTAATCTTTGAATTCATATATGTTAATTTGGATCATATAACCATAGAGGTTTAATATTTTGATTCATTAGTATATATTCACAGAAGCCATTGTGATACTTTTAAGTAAACGAGACACTCAAGGAATTTGGAAAAAATGCTATTAATACAATTAATGAATTTGGTAGTGAAAAGATTCATTAAAAAATATAATAATAATAATTTGGAGAAAGTATAGAAAATGAATAAATATGTATTGTGACATCGTCACAATGTCAGGCTGCAATTTTTAATCATATTTTTAATTTATTTAAAATATATGCTCTCCACGTCAAAATTAGAACTATAGCATCTTGCCCCTGTAAATCATACAATAATTCTAATTACCTTAAAAAACTATATATATATATATACACACACACATATAGTTTGAAGACTTATTTTCTGTAGAAACTAATTAGATATATAATTTTGAACATAAAATTTCCATAACTTAATGAAGATGAAAAATATTGACATGCACACAAAAAGCTGAGAAAAAAATTAATTTTTTGTATTGCATAAAGTTTTATGAAATAATTAGTAAGAAGAATAAATAATCTGAGTTCCAAATGATTAATATAGATATAACTTAAGCCCAAAAGACATGGAATAAAATTGCTCATAAAATATTTTAATATTAATGAAGAAAATATTTTGAGTGATGTGGTGTATTTATTAATAGATGCTTATTAATAATAACAATTAAGAAATGTGCATGAAATAGTATTTTAACACGTTTGGTGGTATTTAAAAATAGCATTACATTGCTTAAAAATTAAGATTTGCAAATCAGCTATGAACTCATTACATTTGATCTGCAATTACATTTGATAATAATCAGTTGTTTAAAGTATCATGACATGATTAAATAAAACTATTTGAATTTTAATAAACCATTATTTATTAAAATTTTTAATAATTATTTTCTTCTTATCATTTTAAAAAGCTTTTTAGCATAATACATAATGAATATTTTAATAACTTATAATCTCAAAAAAATTCCATCAAAATATTTAAGTTACTCTTAGCTGAACATAGAGCATTCTGTATATCAGCTTTACAATTGTTGGGCTGCAATTTGAAAAAATTGTAGACCTATAAATTCCCACTGTTGTCTGTCTGTCTTTCTTTAATCTCAAGAATGAAGTTACACAGATGAAAACTGAGGCCATATATGGATAGCTTAGGGGCAGAAGACCCTGACTAACTATATACGAACTTCTGATGTAAACCAGAAATCACATTATTTCAATTCAAAAATTTTTCCATGAAATGAATTAGATGACTGGCATGATTCCATTGTTAACAGAAAAGTATGATGTACAGGGGCAAGACACTACAGTACTAATTTGAGATGGAGATCATATATTTTAAATAAATTAAAAACATGATTAAAAATTTTCAGCCTGACATTGTAACGGTGTCACAATAAATATTTGCTCATTTTCTATACTTTCTCCTTCTTCCTTTTTGTTCTAAAGACAGTAAGATGGATTTTTAATCATGTCCATCATGTATGCAGCCAGATTCACAATGGGAAATGGTCATGTCGTCTGTGTCATGAGTGCTGCTTCCACTCCTGGCTTGCTGTCATCTATACTTGTGAATGATGTCATAATTTGTTTTCAAGATCTTTCAAATTGTTATTGTTTAAGTTAAAATATTGTAATTTAATATCAAATATAAAATTACCATTTTGTATTATATTTACAAATTAGCAATTTGTGAAATCATTTGTGAAAGGTTTGATTTTAAAATTATGCCAATATGCAACTAAAATGAAAATAGATATATTAAATCAGTCTCCAGATTAAATGTAATGGTGGTAAAAAGTACATTATACATTTACTTCATATGTAAATTACAGTTCATAAGTACAGAATTTGGCTATTTCACAATACAGTAGAGCGTTGTTTATCCAAAAGCCGATCAATTGAAAGTGTTCCAGTCATTCTGTGTCATGCTGAATCGAAAGTTTTTGATACTAGATTAACTTCCAAAATATTTTTTTGTTTTTATATTTTTCAATATATTTATTTTGTTTGTGCAAAATAAAGAAATAATTTTTAACAATACAATAGCCATGATTATTATTTTTAAAAATTTATGTTAGGCTTAATATTGATGAAAAATCAACACGAAGCGACATGCAATGGAGAAAAATTTCAACACAGGATAGGTTAATATATTTTTTTGTACATAATTGTATATCCAAAAAATAAGTTTTCTGAACAACCCCAGTCCCCAATTGATTCGGATAAATGACACTCTACAGTATCTTCATTGTTAGAACTGGTAGAATTTCATATTTTTTATATAGTGAATTGTGTAACTAATTTTTACATTTCTATATTTTCAATAGAAGATTTTCAGTATTGAGCATTTAATAACTTGTTTTTAGAATTGTTTCACAATTTTTTCAAAATAAAGACAAACTTTTTAGAAAAGGCTTTGAAGAATCACTGATTTGTTTAATTTTGATTACACATTAAACCCTACTTACATATTACATGATATAAAATATCAAACCTGTTCTGCATTCAATAAAGCTACAAAAGACTGCAAATAGTTTTTACTATTATCATCATCTGAATATTTTTAAAACAAAATCGTTAATTTTATTTTAAACAATTTTATTTTAGATTTATTAAAGAATGTGAGAGAAGACTTGGACACATATTCTTTTTTATGGCTGGGTTTCAAAATATTAAGATCTTAGGAAAGAAAGCACATTCATCTGAAGCTCCTATCTTGTGTGTGGCACCTCATTCCACATTTTTTGACACACTTATGGAATTTATTGGTGGTGTCTATTGTCCTGTAGTACGTGAACAAAGCAGTTCTACAGCTATTGTATCTAGTAGGAATAAATATATATCAAATTTTAACTTGCATGAATAAGCATTTATTTACATGTTTGTGTAATTTAAAGAATAAATTTTTTATAGCTTTAATTACATATACGCAACCTGTATATGTTAAGAGAGACGATCCTTTATCACGTCAACATACTATACAGGAAATCAGAAGAAGAGCACTTTCAGGTGATGATTGGGAACAAATACTCATTTTTCCAGAAGGAACTTGTACCAATCGAACATGTCTCATACATTTTAAATCAGGTTAGATTAATTTTCATTTTTTTTTTTAAATAGAAATTTTGTTTGAGAAATTAAATTGTTTACTCTGTCAGGTGCCTTTCTACCTGGAGTTCCTGTACAACCTGTTTGCATTAGATATTTAAATAAGCCGGTAAAATTTCTATATATTGGAATTCTTAAAATTCTTAATTCTATTTAACATGGTAATAATAAACATACGTATATTTGTTAGGATACAGTAACCTGGACATGGGATGGACCCGGCGCGTAAGAAAATTGCTTTACTTTTAACTAACTGATTTAAAATATTAAGTTGTGATTTGTAAATAATATAATTTTAATGAATGTATCATGATTATGCTGTTGTTTTATCATTATAGTTGGAAAGTAATTTGGCTTACAATGACACAATTACATCAGCCTTGCGAAATAGAAGTAAGTCTTATGTTTATGTGCAGTTGATTCAAAAAAGGATTTTACATCAGCTGATATAATTAGACTTCTGAAAGCTTTGAACTATTTACTACAGAATTGTGAAATAAGTTTTGTAGTGACAGCAGCTGTTAGATTTTAATACAGTAATATCTAGGTTTTCATTGACTTCGGTTATCATCAGTTTTTTTCGTGAAAAATTTGTCTCGGATTTTGTCGGCGTGCCTACATGAGCTCACTGGTAATTTTGCAAAACCATGCATTTTCCTGCTTAGTGTGGCATTGTTTCTTATTGTGACCATTATCTTACATGTCTAGCCAAACAATGGGTGTCTTAAAAATTTCAGCATGCAGCCAGCACCTCTCATCACCTCAGTTCAAAATCTCAGATGACTTCTGGGTGCTGCCAGCGTGTATAGCTGCCAATGCAAAATAGAGCTCTTAAAATGCTTGCAGTTTGCTGCAAGCATTTTAAGAGCTCTATTTTGCATTGACAATTTTTTATTTGTTGATGAAAAATCAACANTTAAAAATTTCAGCATGCAGCCAGCACCTCTCATCACCTCAGTTCAAAATCTCAGATGACTTCTGGGTGCTGCCAGCGTGTATAGCTGCCAATGCAAAATAGAGCTCTTAAAATGCTTGCAGCAAACTGCAAGCATTTTAAGAGCTCTATTTTGCATTGACAATTTTTTATTTGTTGATGAAAAATCAACAAATAAATTGAAAAAAATTAACATTTAGTTAGTACATTAATAGACTATATTAATATACAGTAATACCTCGACTTATGCTACCCCAACTTACGCAAACCCGGAGTTACACGATTTTCAAATCTTGTCAATTTGTCTTTTGTTCGAGTACCAAGCAACTCTCGATTACTCACTCCCCCCACTATTGTTTGGCTTACATGTTCAGACGTGTCGTGCGGAATTGACACATAGCTACAATTTATTTTGTGTTATTTCTGTGTTTGTTATATCTACGGAGACTTGAGAGACTCTATGTGGTGATTTCTTGTAACCGTGAACAAATCAAAAGACGAGATAAGATTAACGAGAACATTTATTAGCTTACATATTACATACAGATGACTTGGATTTTACACAAATTGTGAAATTATATCCCAACTTACGCGAATTTGACTTAGCGGTTATTGCTTGGTCCCACCTATCGTGTAAGTTTGGGGTATCATTGTACTAGTATATTTACTTAAGACACCACATAATTTTTTTAGTTGTTAAAGTGTAATCTTAGGATTGATTTTAATTATTTAAAACTCCTATGGAAATTTAAAAAATCTTTATCCTTATTTCTTTTCAAAATTTTTATTTTTTGTTAAGCTGTTCTCATTAAATAAGTTCAAAAATAAATTTAACATAATGTGGAAGTCTACATGTTTTGCATTTTTATTGTTTTTCTCTCCCGAGATTCCAGGCAGTCAGCATTTGTTCTCTAGAAAATGCTAGCAGTTGCATCACTTCCGGCAACATCTCACTGGATTAATGCTGAGATTTTGAATATGCATGATTCCATTGCTTTGCTTTCCTTTTAGCTCCATCATGGGAAATTCCATGTTAAATGTTCATTTATTCTTTACATTAGTCTTTTATATTAATTTTAAATTAATTTCTTAGTTTTAATATTAAACACTATATTTATTCTCTATAAAATATGTTTATGGTATGTATTTTGGAGTGTCTAGAACTAATTAATTGGATTTATGTAGATTCATATGGAAATAATTGCCTCGGTTTTTGTCGGTTTCAGATTTCGCAGATTGTTTTCAGAGGGATTATTAACGAAAACTGAGATATCACTGTATTAAAATAACACAGTGAGAAGTACAGAAAATGATTTACTTTCCATAGTTTAGTTTAATATTTTAATTATTCTGATTGACAATGCTTTCTCTAAATTAGATCATGATGAAAAATTTTATTGAAACAGTTATGCGCAGTTATTAAATAAGAAAGCTATTTTTTTTTTTTTTTTTTAATTTCAGTTATTTCTGTATTTTGGAACTGATATACTTGAAATTTAGTTCTTTGGTTTTTAATGTAAGTCTTTTATATTGGTGATATTTTATATTAAATGGATAAACAGTAACATTTGAACTAAAGATCTTAATTTTTCTGTTGCATTCATATTTTATAACTCTTTCTTAAAACAAATATTAATAAGGTTATAAATTAAGTTCTTACTTCATATTGATGTTGAATTCATGATGATGAATTCCTTATTTTGAAATCAACTGTACATTTTTCAGTTCTTGATGTTCAATTTTTTTTTATATTATATATGAAAATGTATTGATGTATACTTAGTTTGAAATTAATAATTTAAAAAATATTTTAATGATTAAGATTAAAATGATTAAAGAATATATATACAGTACTAATAACTATACAATTAAAAGTTGAATAAAATTGCAACAAACTTCCAAAATCATTCACAAATTGCATGTAATTTTTATCATTTAAAATTTATATTTGAACAAAAACTATATATTAAGATAATATTAAAGGAAAGTGGTTTTGAACCAATACTTTATATGAAGTTGAATCAAAATGTAAATTTAAAATCTATTATTTCTTTCATATATTGAAAATTCAAAATTTATTTTTAAATGTTTTCATTTGGAAATATATTCATATGCCTTGAGCAAAAAACAGAACATTTGTCAACAATACTATTATCATTTTAAATTGGTTTTTGTTTGATGTTTCCAATTTTTTTTTTTTTGAGCAAAACTAGTCTATAATATAGAATATTTTAGCTTTTAGTATAATCTTTAATTATGTACTTTTATCATTTTGCCATTAAATATTTTAAATTTGTTTCCTGTATTTGAAATATTTTGATGTAACACTTGATTTGCTAAAAGCATTTACTTTTTGTTCTTGACAAATATTTAAAACTGTAATTCCTTATGTGAATTTTTCAATATGTATAAAAAAACTGATTTGAATTTTTTTTAATCAACTTCAGTTTATTTTCAATTCTTAGTGTAAGGAGAAATATTTAATATGAAACTCAAATCTTTAACATATGAGAAAGTAAATTATTACAGTGAGAGAGAGACTTTCACAAAGACTAATTTAAGTAATTAAGATATAAAATAGTAAAAGTAGAGAGAGATGTTAAAGAATTAAAAATGTAGTTTTTCTTCTCATTGATTTAATATAAATAAAAATTTTCTCATTATGTTTAATACACTGTCATTTGATGATTTTAATAAAATATATTTTTAATATTTTTGAAAATTTCTTTTCAGTTTCTACCTGTATATACTCCAAGTGAAGAAGAAAAACAAGATCCAAGATTGTATGCAGACAATATCAGAAATATAATGGCTAAGTAAATATTCTAAACTTCAAAAAACAAAACAATAATGATAATGATTCATAATTACAATAGCAGACATACTTAAAATGTTACTTTTTGTCTTAGAAAACTGTGTGTTCCAACATGTGATTTGTCTTATGATGATATAAAATATCAAGTCTGGGCTAAGGAAAGGCATTTGTTACACACTGTTGGAGTAACAAAATTATTAAAATTAAGAAGAAAATTGAAGTATGTTTTTTACAATTTGAAGTCTTTATGAATGTTATTAATTTTTAGTGTGGGAAACAGTGTTTCACTAAATAAGTTATCAGTATCAGAAAATTCTTAGTATTTAATTAACAAAATACTAAGAATTTTCTTGTCAGTTATAGTTAAATGATAATTATATGATTTAAATATATAATAATAAAAATATAATTAAAAGTGAAGATGATGAATATAAAATCTTTTTATATTTATTGTAATTTTTAAGTACATTTATCAATACTCAAATTTGGTGTGTACACAATCCCATTTTTCTTTCTCGTTTGTTATACATAACAGAGGGAAAGTATGGCAGTTGGTCAAAAGATAACTCCCTTTCGAAGATTTTTACACTTTGTACTTGAAATCTTGAAATGTTGAGAAATGCAAAAAAATTTAGTGGTAATTTCTGTGTATGGATGTGTGTGTGTGGAGGGGGGCACAATTTTGTTCACCCTGTTTGAAGCTTAATAACGCCTATGCTTTTTGTCAGAAATTTTGCAGGGAAGTTTGTGTCTTAGGGGACATTGATACTATTAATTTGGTTGGTTAAAGGTCAAGGGGAGATAAAGGGATATCTCCAGTATTATTGGACTTAATGTCAATTTTACTAGTTATTAGCATTTATAATTTTTTATAAAACTCATCCCTACCCTCAAAATTAAGCTTTTTGCCATTTTATAATAGTTAATAATATAAAAAGTTTTTAATAATAAAATATCATAACAAATGTCACCACCAAATGTATATGGTGCCAGGAAAGTTAAGCAAGAAAACTACAAAATTAAAAGCAAATATCCTTTCAGTTTTGATTTGTTTCAATTTCTGACTTTGAATGACAGAATATACAAAATATAAATCACATATACCCAATCAAAATCGTATTCCCATCTATGAATTGAAACAAATCAAAATTGAAAGGATATTTGCTTTTAATTTTGTAGTTTTCTATTCAATTTTCCAATTCCATTTCTGTCACTTGGATAGGAACATGCATACATTTTAAGAATTTGTATTCCTGATCAAATATGTGCACATGTTCAAGAATCTCAAATAGTTAAAAATACATGTTTAGTAGTTTTTTGTCATTTTTAAATTAAATGTTTTAAATTTAAAAATTACAGCCCTTTCAGAATGTTAATATTGTTTGGTTTAGAAAGAGATATCCACAAAACTATCCCTGCAAATTACTACATACAGTAGATTTAAGTTGTTACTGTTCGCTTAACATAATGATCTTATAATTTTTATTTAATAATAGCATATTTGATTTGATATTCATTTTACATATTTGAAGTTATTCATGAATCCATATAAGTTAGCATACTTTAATATTAATTTATAGTTATAGTGTATGTAATTATCATAATAAGTATAAAATATATGTTTAGAATCTGTGTAAGTCATACTACTAATAGTTTGAATAGTAAAATATTGATATTCTCATATGTTAGATGTGTATTAAAATAAATATTTCTAAGTATTTTTAAATTATAAATACTTCCTCAAATATAATTTTATATGTATATACAGTTTGGAAAAGAAGAGTATCAAAGAAGAAATTGCCAATTCCGAAAATAAATTAAGTCTGTACAATAATTTGATTACTTGCAAAGAGTTTGCAAATTTTCTAACTGAACCAGTTTCAGAGGTCATTAGAGATTTCTTTGATGCATTTGATCCAGTAAGTTTATCTAATATAATATATTTTTATTTTTTATAATTTTATTTATTTACTTTTTGTTTATGTTTACATTTATTTATTCAAATAGAATAGATCAGGCTTAATAGATTTGAGGAGTTATATAGCTGGTCTCTGGCTCATTAGGCAAGATATTGATGATGACGAGAAGCTTGAAAATGCTTTTAAAGTAAGTTTAAGTTTCAGATTTGTAAACCTTTTCCAAAATGATAATACTTAAAGATGATTTAAATACCAGGTGTTTTGCTCTGGAGTAAATTATTCTTTGGGAGTTTCAGAATTTGAAAGATACATGTGGTTAATAAAAGGCATATCATCATCCTGGTCAGAAAAAATATTTAAAAAATTAAGCAAAGATGGAGAAACTTTGGTATTTGGTATGTATTAATAATTGTTTAGTAATACATCAGTATCAAATACTATGTTTTAAATTATATTAATGTTTAAAAGTTACCAAACTCCCAATCATACACATGTGCCCAAAACTTAAGGACAGACGACATCTGTACACAAATAAATCTGTAGATGAATTCAGACAAATATGGCAAGAATTATACTACTTGATGATTAACACAAGGTAATACACAACAACTTAAAATAGATTTTATGAGTCAAAGCAATAAAAGTAAATCTTTGGTGAAAAAAAGATACATACAGCAATACTGGTAGTAGCAGATATAGTGCTTACCAATACTCAGGTCGAGAGAGACTGTCAATATGGAATGTGTCCATCTAATCCCAAACTTTTTATCCCATCGAACCCTTTATAGAATATTTGCCTTCTTATCGACTCCCAGATTAACTATTTAACAAAAACATTAAATCATTTTTGCATTTCTGATGTTAAACGATAAGAAGACCTGTATAACAACTCAACAAAAGAATTTATAGTTCCTATATCTTACAAAATCCACCCAATAACATTAACAGAAAAAGAAGATATTTTCCACTGATTTATAATCTTAAAAAATAATAGCAAAATTATGGATAAATGGAAATTTGCCTATAGTTCTTAAACTGTACGTGTCATAATACGTAAAATACACACTTAACTTTGAAAACATAAGTTATATTGGATGAAAAAAAACCTTTTACTGTCATTTTGCGACTACTACTAATTACCTTAAAAATATGTTAACATACCTTTTTATTAAAATAATTGATATTAGTGGGATGGATGTGTCTGAAGAGAAGCAGCAAGATTATTGATATGCAGTTGAAAATTGGTAAGTTATAGTCGCAAATCACCACAGTTTTCTAATTTCAATCTGTTCCTCTGTTTTGTCAAAATTGTGTTCATGTGGCTAAAACCAGCTTCAACCATGTATGAAGTTGGAAATGTAAGTAAGAAGGGTTCAGCTTCTGCTCTGAGCTTGGGATATTTAGTGGCAATATTATTGTTGCTCCAAAATTTGCTGAAGTTTTTATTTTTAAACAACACTTTAGCTTTGAGATCTACACATATTTCAATCAGTTCATCTTCTAAGCCAGGTTCATTACCTTCGTGATCTATTTTTACATCAAATGGATTAGCAAACCATTTGGGAACATACATATTCTCCAAGTCTATGAAACATGCTTTAAAGTCTTCTCTTAATTTATCAAGATGTTTAAAATATATCTCCAAATCATGGTCGGAAATCTTTTCATTTTCTTTTAGTACTCGCAAGTTTGAAAAATATTTAAAATTGGATTGTGCCAGTGAAGATTTAAATAGCTCTATTTTTACTTGAAAGGCCATTACGATTGCTTGAGCTTGAACAATTGTAACTTTGTTTCCTTGCAAATGCTTCTGTACTATATTAATGATTTTCGATATATTACAATATTTTCTTTGTAAAGGACAAAATATCTACATTTAGATATAAAATACTTAGAATGTCAACCCTACTAGATGTCTGTGTATAATGAACTATCAGCATTCATAACATGTTTGCAACACTAATATAGTTGCCAGATGTATGAAAACAGAGTAACACATGCTTAAAGCAGCATAAGCTAAGGCAAAACTCAAGATATAACTAGGGTAGTCAGTAATGTTGTTGATCATATCTGTATTTAGAATTTTTATTGGGATGGATGTGTCTGGAATATTCTATTGTTTTCCTGGACAGTTTAATTGATCCTCTTTGGTATTAATCTATCCCCTTTCGACCCTCGTGTATTAATCGACTCCTGGAGAACTCTTTATCGACCACTTTGGGGACCCCTAATCTAATTGCATTGAAGCATTCACAGGCTCATTGTTGACTGGCTTGGTGAATTTTTCTAGTTATCACCACTAACAATTGTGTTCATCCTTAAGTTTTGGACACATGTAATTTTGTTAAGATGCTTGTTTAATTTTAGGATACCAATAGATTTATTCACACATTTCTCCTTTTAATAATTGCAAGATTTCTTCTTAGAAATGTTAAAAATCTCAGCTTTGTTTTGATATATTTTAAAGGAATTTTTTATTTCTTTCTGAATAGATGATCTTCAAAGTATTCTGTTCGATAATAAATACATCTCAAATGGAGCACCACAGACTAATGGTTCGGTATCACTGCCGGATGACAGAATAATTTCAGATTCTGTTCTTAAGACAAATTGTAATCAAGATGAAAAGAAGAGAAAATAATTGGTATAATTTACTTCTTTCACAGTAAACATTTATTAAATGATTATTAGAAATAATGAATGATATTTTTTATCAAAAATCTGTTTTGCAAAATGTGCAAAATTAATCTGGATGAAATCATTATATATAATTAGTTGGTTATTATGGAATTAAATTGATTGCTTTTTGAACCCAAAAGTTGTATAAAATATCAGTGCCAAAGGCTACTTAACAAAGTACTATGTATATGTATATTTATGTATTTTGATAAGATTTTATGTAGTTTCTTAATTTTGTTTTCATCAGATTTTATTATTTTGAAAAATTTTATTTATTCTTAATTTTTTATATTCAGATAAATTAGTGAGATACAGTCCAGTTTCTAAAATTAATGAATTCTGATATGTTTTAAAGTATTGGAAATCATCTAGATTCAATTAAAATAAATGCTGTAAAAATATGTATTTCAGAATTTATAATAAATTATTGTTATTTTTTAAATTATTAATTAAACTTAAAAAATTATACTAAAGGTAGGCTTTTTTAATTTTTAGTAGATGCTGCTGTTGCTGCTGCTAATTTAAATATCTTAAATGGTATTTATACAGTATTAAGATAATTTAGATAAAATGATATTAACAGCAGTTATAAATGCTTGATTTATATATTGATTTGAAATTTTATTTTATTCAATTACATTTGAAATGTTTTCCTAATAATAACGTGCCAATTTAGCAAAGTTTGATCATTTTAATGAATGAATATAGTCTCAATTTACAAAAATAAAGGTTGATACATATACGTGAAGTGTCTATTCATTTTGTAAAAGTTTGTGTCAGTGATTAATAATAATAATAATTGAATTCATGTGTTTAATATAGTGCTGTATTTTACACTTCATTGTGAGATTAATATCCATATCTTAATGTTTTGCGTTATTGCAAAATCTACCTCTTGCATTTTGACTTGTTTTAGGTGATTTTACATGACATGATTCCACATATGGAGTAGCAAGCTGTTTTGCTTTCTCTTTTCTTCCATGCATCATGTATACACTTTATTTCTTGGTCTGATGCATCATCTTATCCAAAATTATGGCAATTACTGCAAATTCCATGCTTGTAAACTTTGCCATCTTGACTATATCTGACTTCAAACTGTGTGTAAATAGATTCGTAGATATCACTGACACATCACTTATATGTGAATCGACCTTAAACATATAAAAATGTATGTATAAAATTCAAGAATATTTATAAATTAATATCCAAGAAATTTTGATTGTATTGGAATTATAGAAAATAATTTTTATATTCTAGATACTGAACTGTATCAGTTTCTAAACTTTATTTTTTCTAATAAAATTAGATTAAGTTTCAAATATCATTCAAGTCTTGAAGTTGTTATATAAATATTGCATAATCCTTTGTATTGTGATGCTGTGTAAAATTATGTTTAATTTGGAAAAAATTTCCCATTGCATTCATGAAAAATCATTATTTCTATGTACTTCAAGCAAATGAGTTAGTGATAGCTCACAAAAATCTCATTTAATAACTGCAGGGAAATATGTAGACTACCACTGCAAAGTACAAATTTTGTACTATACTTTTCAATTTCAAGTTTGTAAGAAGGTAGAATTCTTATGATTTTTAATGTTTATAGTAAAACAAATGGAAGTTTGTTGGTGTAATTACTGTGCTGTATGCCCATGCAGACTCAGACGGTTAAAATTTTTGGGAAACGGGAAATTATTTTTTAATTCTACTGTGATGATCTGAAATTGTAATGCTTAAGTTGAACATTTGTTTTTAAATTATACACAGGTGTAAATTTCTTGTGTTGTGAAAAATTATCTTAGAAACAAGTATTTTGTTGTTGGTGCCATTAGAACCTAGAGTTTTACATCACACATCCTGTTTAGACTAATTGAAATAATTTTTCCCTATTAGATTAGCAAAATTTTAATTTTAGTAAAGAAACTAGTTCATTTTCAGTTAGGAATTCATCACATGATGTGTAAACCTCAGGGTTGTTTATTGGCAATGTTTGATTGTACAATTTACTGATTTTTGTGCAGTAAAATGTTTTTATGTAATCTTATCTCTTCCATTTTTCTCTAATTGTACAATGTACATAAAATTAAGGAAGAAGTATTGTGCAAATGTACGCTATATGTGCGATATTTAAATAATAAAGCTGGATCTAAAAAGGTATGTAGTCATTATTTAATTTCTTTGAATAACTGCTTTTAACATATCTTCAAATACAAATTATTACCTATTTAAATGTTACTCATTGGTAAGATTGTTTCATAATGTAACTTTGCAAATCTATTTAAGTAAAAATGAATATTAAATATATTTAAGTGAAGTATTGCAACAAATGCCAATACCAGTTAACAACTGAAGCTTTAGTAAATTGTTTCTCATATTTAAATTACAATTAACTTAGGAATAGCTTATTGTAAATTACCAAATTTAGTTATGTTTATTTTTTTGTAAAGTACATTGATCCATAATCATTCTTAGTATTATTCTATAATAAACTAAAGTTTTCTTATAATTGCATACTGTAAAAGAAAATATTTTGAGCAAAAGTAAAACAGCAGAAATATTAAATCAAATTTTGATGTAATGATTATGCAGTGGTCATAATAACAATAATAATTTAATCATCATTATGTTAATGAAATAAACACATCCCTTGCAACAGTATATAGAAACTGGTAGATGAAAAATACCATGTGAGTCTGGTATTGTACTCAAGAATAAAAATTAATATTGATCACTTCTTCACACCTTGCAACTTGACTCATTCATGCAGTAGTTTTCAACTATTATCTAAATAACATTTTTCTAAACTGTTATGGCAAACCGATTTTCTATGAAGCTTTTTACATAGTCAGTGGCATGTTATATCTTCATGAGGCACTTGCAAATTTGAATTAGGGGACCCATGTACCGGTACAGTGTTGACTTAATACATTTTTCTTCGGGGAAATTTTGGGTACGTTCGTAAAGTCGAACGAGTTAAATACGTTAGTAACGAATTGTTCTAAGAGTAGTAGTCTCGCTCAGTTCGCATGCTCTGCGGTGATGACGTGTCGAACGAAACTCTAAATGAAGTTTACGATGGAAAGACTTAGTTCACTTCGTTAAGAAAATGGCGGCCGACGAATCGATGTTTCTAAATCTACTCGAGTGTTTAATCTGTGAATTAAAAGGTGAAATGATAGAAATAACTGTCCACCCGAAGCAATCTAAGAAAAATATTTCGGATAAGGCTGCACTAGCAACATTCATATCTTCGATTTTAGAAACAGCCATTTAGTTATAAACGAATCGTTAGAAAAGTAACGAAATAAGAATAACGATGACGTTTATTCTCGTTTAACTCGTTCGACTTTACGAACGTACCCTTTATTAGGGAAAATTTTTCTTAAAAAAGATTGGTTTGGGGCCCCAGGCAATTGCTCTTTTTGACCAAAGGATAACTTGCTACTGCATATATTTAGGAAAGTCCCGGAAAGAGCAGAGACTATTTTCGTTGACCCGGGAAATTTGATAGAGAATTATGAAGTTCAAGAGCAAGGACCAGATCTGTTATTAGGTTGCTGATAGCCAGCAGATGGTATTGCACACTTGTCACAAATGAATCGCTGTGTGAAGTTTCATTGTTCTAAGAACGAGACTGTCTACATTTATTCAAAGCTCTTGAAGTAAGTCTTGGCAGGTTTGTTATAAAAATGTGTGGAAAATTATTTCTAGTACATTTAGCAGGGTTATGGGGGTACGGAACAGGAGTTGGTACAACAAATTCGGCGTTTTTCTCTCACTGGAGTTTCTTCTGATCTAACAGACTCGGGCATTTGAGAAATCAACAATATAAAAATTCCCTTTAGTGGAAGTGAAGAATGGTTTTGTGATTTAATTCGTTATCAGCCTGAGGATGTAGATGTAGTTAATTTGCCAAAAGTGCAACGAGAATTAATTAGGCCTGTTATTGAAATCCAACTGATTTGGTAGAGTAGTACTAAAAAGGCCGAATATGAAAGTTTTTTAAAAATCATACAATACATTGTCATTTTTTTGAATAATACACTCTTCGTTGCTATGTATGTTTCGTTTTCACTGGTACAATAAATATCTATTTAAATCCTTGTTATGTCGTCGTATTTTCTCACATCTTTAAACGCGTTAAGTGGGTCTTATTTGGGCAACGGTTTATTATCCACGGCTCCGTTCTACCGTCTATTAGTCACCATTATTTTTCGATCACAACAAGTGAGCCAAATTGGTGCCTATTGCAATTTCAGTCGTGTATTAACTTTCGTTTTACATAGAGAAGTCGGGTAACCCTTTCTATTCTATGGGCACTAGCAGGGGCGTGCCGTGACATTTGATAATAGGGAAGCTGTGTTTCTATAAGAAGCCGACTTCCAGGGGCAGTCAGTCAGTGATGGTTTAGGGTCCATTCGTATTCGTTTGTTCGATAAGCCAGTAAAAACCGTAGACTTCTCTAAATGTATTTTTAATTAATAGATTATCTAACGCACTTAATAAATAATTAAGTTCAATATAATTAACTCTGTTATATTAGATTTAATAGATTCTCTACGCCCTCTAAATGCCAATTCTCGCTTCGATAACATCTACTAATTAAAATAAAATATATCTATTAGCCGTAACTATCTCGTTATAATTTTCAATATTTATTTTATATTGTGTACTAATGTTAAATTCTATTCTATTTTGATTTCCAAATTGCTTCAATTTTACGAAAGATTCGATGCGAGAATTAGGATTTTCGTGTCTTTTGCCATCTTTATTAAAATTATTTAAATCCTCAAAGCCAATCTCATTCCACACACTAATTTTATTTGAAAATAGTAGGCAAGGCCAACAAAACAATTTTTGCATTTTTATGCATCCACAGAGCCATTTTATATTTTCATAAATTTTATCGTGAAAATGTCGAACAAATTTTTTTTGTTGACGTACAAGTCGACCCCCCCTATAAGATCATAGATACTAGTTTTCTCAAACGGGATCCCGGTTGTTTTTCTAACCCGAGAAATTTTTCTTATCCCGGGAAATCCCGCAAATTTCTTAAAAATTCACTTTTTTTCTTATTTTGTGTTAAAGTTAATTATGCTTTTTATTTGCAAAATTTCTTATCTCATTCGCTGTCAGAATACATTTGTATTTATTAATTTTAAACCTACCTATTAGTTTTTTTTTTAAATTTTTGCTCGTTATGGCATGCCACAAATGGTCGATAATCAATACGTAGCTTATTTGTGCCAGGACTCTGAAAATTCTTTACTTGTCAGAACCTGTAATATATGGAATAATTGTGCTTACGCGTCTTAATTTTTAACCATGCCCAGTAGCTTCAATAAATGCCTGACGCCAGATTGTGCAAATTGGGCAAGGATACAAACGAGTACAAAGTCTGCAAGTATGAAGTTTTTCTTCATAAACCTGATTATTAAAGCCAAATGA